ACGAAAATACCCTCAGACGAAAATATCTAAATATCAGATATTTGGTGGACAAAACTTTGTTTCGGAAAATTTTGGTAGACAAAAAATATTATCCACATTTGAAACAACAGATTGGGATGATATTTGGTGGACAACAAATATTGTCCCCATTTAAAACAACAGACTTTAAAGAAATTTGGTGGACAAGAATTCAAAACGGCATATTTCGAAAATTTTGGTAGACAAGAAATGTTGTCCACATTTGAAACAATAGGTTGAGAATATATTTGGAGGACAACAAATATTGTCCACATTTGAAACAAACAGACTTCAAAGAAATTTGGTGGACAAGAATTTGAAACGAAATAATTCGAAAATTTTGGTAGACAAGAAATGTTGTCCACATGTATCTTCTTCTTTCTCAGATTTAGATTCGCTTCCACTTTCCAAACCAGATTCAGACCCAGATTTTTAATCTCGCTAAATCGCCAACGATGTATTCCTAGATCGAAAACGTGATGAACTCTTATATCTAGGGAGATTGAGCTTCATTTTTTAGAGAAAAAAAAGAGAGAAAGAGAGAGATGAGAGAGAAATGAGAGGAATGGAGATTGAACAAAAAACACTTTCTCTCTAAAAGGTAAATTGGACTTTGCAAGTTGGATTAGAAATTGGATTAGAAATTGGATTGTTTCTTAGATTTCTCTATATTTTACTTGTTTTTTCAACAAATGTGGTATATATATATAGCTTAACCTTTTGTTTCTGTCGTTTGTCCTTTAATTGAATTAACTATGCATTTTTAATTTTTATAGTATATAGCTTAAACCCATTCGAAACCCAAGTTACCATTGCCAGCTATGTGTACCCGTAAAAGGCATTAGACATACGACTACCAGTCTACCACAATTGTTCAATTTTGGAAATGGCTATTAAAATTGTAGGATAAACCACCACTGATTGAACTCATCATTATAGATTTATAGCGATTACGATTAGCATTGATTGGCGACCCCATAATTAATCTCACTCTTGTAATATTCTAAGTCCTCTTAATCAATAGACTTTTGGTTTGTTCCATCAACAATGCAACTTCAACTTTATTGTTGAGTGTTGACGTGTTGTCTGCACCATGAATCAACAGAAATATCCTACGATCTTGTGGTAAGACCTTTCGAATCTAGCGGTACATATAATCTTTTCCCATAGTTCTCTAAATGATTTTGGGCGACTTCAATCAAAATTTCTAAACATTTTTTTCTATAACGAATACGATTCAATGCCTACAGTACTAAATTGTGAATTTCTAGATGTTCGATACTCTTCTTTTCTTTGATTGGAGTTAGATGTAAATATATAAAAATACTCAAGTATATTGGAGATTGATTCGATATACATAAACAACTAGTAATATGATTCATTACCAAAAAACTAGTAATATGATTCCAAATCATAATATATACAATAACGTTCGGCCCATACGAATCACATAGTATTTTTTATTTTTTTGTAAACACCAATCACATAGTATATAGTTATAGACTTATAGATACCGCGTTGGTCGGACACGGACACTCAATGGTCGGTAAATTTTAAACTATAAATGATGATAACTTTAATTAGCATAATAGATTACTAGCTAAAAAAACAGAGCAAATAGTAAGTATATAAAATAGTTGCATAAGGCCTTACGAGCCGACCTTAAAGCGAAGGCCGCCATGTATAGATAACGCCTCCTTTCTAACTCGATTAATAATTTAATGTATTTTAATTATCACCCACTTGTTTCATTATATTTGAACTAAAAATCTATATATCTATATATATAATAGGAGAGTTTTCTCTCCTCTTAGGGTGTCCTAATCAGTGACACATCAGCATACACGTCATCATAAATTTTTAATATGTACAAAATGTCACTAAAAAGATTCGAACCCATTAGCTTATGCATTTAGTGAATGCATCTCAGACCAAATTACCACTTAAATCATTTTGGTTTATAACAAAATATAAACTATATATATTACCTTATACAAGTTCCACATAATTTATTTTTTTAAACAAGAAACATTAAAAAAAAATTAATTCATATATAACTTTTATATCATCATCTTTTAATAAAAGAAAATATTTTTTCATAAACAATAACAGGATTTAATATAAATAAAAAGTAATATAATACAACACACAAAACTATGTGATAAAAAATAAGATAAATATACAAGTACACATTTCAATTTTACACAAAATAAGAAATGATTTACTTTTAAAGAAAAATAAATTTTTTAATTTTTTAAAAATAGTGTTAAAGTCGAAAATTCTGTTACCGATAAAAATATTTAAAAATATGAAAAGATACTGGTTAAATATAAAGTAAGATAATTTCATTTTACTTAGAATAAGTAGTAATTTATTTTTAAAATAGAATATTTATTTATAATTTCTAAATATATTTGTTAGTAGTAAAGTACAAAATTTATGTTACCAACTAAAAATTTAGAAAAATTCATTGTATATTAGTAAAATTCAGAGGCGTTGGAGATTAGAAGAAAAAATGTATTCATTGGAAGTTTGATGTTCTTTTTGGTGTTAATCTTCACTTTTGATGTTCTTTTCTACATGATTCATCTCCAAACTCGAGTACTTCAAGATTAACAAGATTACCATACTAGAAACAGCTGCAACAAAATAAAATTCAAAATAAGCAAAAATCTAAAATGAAGAGTTGTTAAAATAAAAATATGCATATAGATATCAGAAATGGATGATAATATCCATAGATTTCCAACAACATTTGGTATATTAAAAATGTGAAAGAAGAAATAGTCAATGTGGTTGAAAAAAAAAATTAGGTGCTATGAAAACACACAATGAAAATAATTAAAAAGATAAAGTATCTGATATATATATAAGAGAATAAATCACAATAAATTTAATTTTATAATTAATTACAACAATCGAGATAACATAGAAATTTTAAAAAAAAAATCAAATCAATGATATTAGTCACGATGAAAGTAAAAAACAACAATAATATCTAATAATATGAATTTAAGCACAATTACAATTTAGAAACAATTAGAAAAATACACGTATCATCAACCGGTCTCATCATCAACCACATAAATAAAAACATTAAAAAAATCTTAAATTGATAATTATTTTTTACCCAAACTCATATACTATTTTCTAATATATAAACCCGCGCATCGCGCGGGCCTATTTCTAGTATATATAATGAGAGAGTTTTCTCTCCATTTAGAGTGTCCACATAGGCGACACATCAGCGTACACGTCATCATACATTTTTAATAGGTATAAAATGTTACTAAAAAGATTCAAACCCCTTATCCAATACATTTAATAGGTGCATTTCAAACCAAATTGCCATTTAAATCGTTTTGATTGATATCAAAATTTAAATTATATATATGACTTTATAAAACTTCCACTCAATTTATTTATTAAACGAAGAAACATTAAAAAAAAGTTTCACATACTTTTATATTATCATCTTTTAATAAAAGAAAATATTTTTTCATAAACAATAACATTGTTTAATATAAATAAAAAAGTAATATAATATAACACACAAAAATATGTGAATAAAAGTTAGGGAGACTCACAAAAATGCCCATTTTTCAATACCCCTTTTCAAAAATGCCCCCTTTAGCTGTCCATTAAAATATGAATAAAAATTAGAAGCATATAGATAATTTTCAAATACATATAATTTATATATGAGAAGTAGAAAACAAAAAAATATGTTATCACGCTAGAAAGACATTAACCTTTTCAAGAGTTATAAAATATTTAGATTAAAAAAAGTTTATATGATAGTAAACTATAGAATTTAGATTACACGAAATAAGAATATCTATTTTTCAAGAAAAAAGTATGTATCCAAAATCAAGATAAAATATATATAAAATTGTATAATATATTTAAGGAAAGAATTGTGATTTAAAAGTACAATTAGATACAAGATTTCTTTAAACAATAACGTTAGAGTGCAATGTTTCATGGAAAATGCAATGTATGAGAATAGGAAGAATCCAAATATAAAATTTAATATGTAGGAAAAAGAACATTTTATAATAGACAAGAAAAAATAAAATATAAAAATAAAATAGATAAAGAGAATATAATTTTAATATAAGTTTATAATGAATCAAAAATTTAATCAATTATTTTAACGAAAAGAACGTGAAAAGAGATAAAATGTCGCGAGGTGGACGACTGCATATTAGAATATGACGAATAAAATGACAGCGAAATAATCTCAAGAGAAATTGACTAAATTCAAAAAGATGTATGAATATGACATGGTCGAGATTGTATTATATTTCTCTGAATTTTTTCAACTAATTTTTTACCACGTGTTACCTAAAAATTTGTTGTTTTTTCAAGAGAAACATTATTTTCAATAAAATCTATGTTATATATCATTTCATAAATAGGTTTATGTCATTATAGATTTATCTTTTAAAATTCAATATATATATTTATATTCACGGCTTATATTGTTAATAGTTTATAAGTAAAATCCCGCGCATTGCGCGGGGTCACAAATCTAGTTATTTATAATTAGTTACTTTAACAATTTGATTTTTAAACTTGATGAATTGTTTGTCTCACTCACGAATAAATACATTACCATAAACGACTAAACATGCATTCTTGTGTTAGAAACAAAAAGTATAAACCAACTTGTAGCCTGATAATTTTGATTAATAACCTTTAACATCATGTCCTTTAACCAAAAAAAAATTTGATTATTGTCGCTACGGTGATGATACATATGTTTTTTCAATTGCTTGCGATTTTAAAGGTTATTATAGGATTCTTTTTTCTGGTATTCGAATTTTTCAGGATGTATAATCTTTTATCTATAAAATTAAGTAAAAAAACTGATAATTTATCTATCAAAAATAGCATTGCAATAGTTTCTTAACTATATTTAATTCGGCGAAATGGGTCAAAGTCAGAGAATTAATCGATTAAAGAAAGGAAAATAAAGAAATTAAAGGGATAAAGAGAATGAGCATGGAGAAGCATAATGATGAGAATGGAATCATAACCAACGGCCATAAAGCATGAGTCCTTTCACTATAAATTACGATAACTTCTCTTCATCATTACCAATCTCATCCTTCACTTCATTATTCTTTTAACCACACTTTCTCTTTGTTTATAATAACAATCAAACTAACTAACATATAACTGAACTATAAACACAAAATGTCTTCCATGGGAGCAAACTATGCACAACTTCAAGTCATGCAGAAGAAGCAGAAGGAGAAGATGATGAAAAAGAAGTTGGAGAAGAGGAGAGATGGCGGCGTAGACGGTGGAGAAGGAGGTGGCGTTTCTTCCGCCGGTAACAGAATATTTCCGGTCAAGTCTTCTCCGTCGTCGACTTATGAAAAAGTAGAAAGACAAGAGTGAATTATGAAGTGTGAGATATTTCTTCTATTTTCAGTTGACTTAATGTGTCTTTGTGTGTGATGTGATGTGATGTGATACAAGTGGTCGTCTTTTGTATTTAGTCTTTTAAGTTACGTAATTTGTGTTCCTTTTTTTTTTAAATGTCAATTCTGTTAAACTTTGTATATTTTCGTAGACTTATGACTAGTTAACTACAATAGAGGAAAAGAAAACGTAGAAGAAAAAATTCTTCAGTTATATATCAGTCAAAAAAAAATTAGAAGAAAACTTTTTCTTCTAAAATTGTCAAAAAGTAACTACAACAAAAGATACAACAAAAGAATTCTTTTATCTGGTAAACAACTAGAACTCTTTTTTTCTTCTTGATGGGACTTTTCTTTTCCTCTATTTTTTCTTCTCATTTCTTCTGGTTTTCTAACCAGTCAGACCCAACATGTAAGATATTTCTGTATTGACAATCTATTTTGAAGATTTTTTTAATTTTGATTTTCGCAAAAAAGTTTACCAAATTTGTGAGGTTGCATAAAATTAACACGAGCGGTCTATTCATATACCCTATAAATTAGTTGAATGCTACAAGCCTACAATAAATTGAAAAAGTTATTAACTTATAATTGGTTTAGTGCTGTTTTCTTTCTCAATGGCACTGTTGGTTATTCGGTGTTGTATTCCTTCCCGTATGGAGCTAGCCTTTGCGGTTAAAAACAGAGACATCTACAAAAATGGATGAGATTTTGGTTTTATATATAACTGTGTTAGACCTAATTGTAATGCGTATGGGTGAAAGCTTGTATGCTTTGTGGAAAAGAGAGAGCGAGAGAGCTCGAGTCTGAGTTTCGGTGAGATTTTGAACAAGTCCTGATGAAACGTAGAAATAGCCACATCGGCTATTGTAAATGATGATCGTCGCCTGAACACAAACAGAAAATAGACAAATATGGGATCGAAACGAAAGACACTTCTTATTGAACTTAACCGGGATCGGCGGAAAACAAAGGATTCGAATGCCGATCGGCTAAATACAATGTTTGGACGATTAACTAGCTGAAATGTCAGACAGTTAACTAAGGGTTAGAATCGGATCACTCCTGATTCCCACGCCAATCCAAGATGCCCTTCTCTGTCACCAGGTGCTTGCCTTTTATAGCCGTGATGTGACACATCAATCCTCTTCGGGATCGATGTGGGTTGGCTGTGCTCGCACGTGTGACGCTCCTGAGGCGGCGCCTTGGTCTTGATAGGCCGACGATCTGGGCTATTTCCCACTTGATGGGCCTTGGAGCCCTATTTGCTGGGCCGACGACCTCGAGCCCTCTGGCCGATCCACCAAGACTCCTATTCTCTCTTGGTGGGCTTTTTTTTATGGGATGGGGCAAAGCCCATATCCAACAGTAAACTTGTACAAGTACAACTTATTAGAGCATTCATAAAGGCCTTTGACGAACCCGACTTTATGACGACACAATACGAGTTCATAAACCCATGTAATTAGGGTTCTTAGTAAGATGAAGATTCATATATATTTATAGTTTTGTATTAATATCATTGCTTTTAACCTCTAGAGTTGCCTCTCCTTAAATTCTTCCTTCTCTGAAAATATCATATATAAAACCATTTTGTTTTTGGTGATAACCTAAAGTTCATTTCCTTTATTATTCCTTGCACTAAATAAAGCTTTAATTAATAAGCTATTTCATTTCAATCTCATTTTCTATATACCTTAAGAGCTTATATCCTAGTATCCTACTAGCTTTGGATTCTCCTACAAAAAATTGGTCTTGTTTACGCTTTTGCACGTTTGTTTTAAGGGATCGGTTGGGAATAGGACATTTTTCAATCCGAACAAATTGCAAAGTACGTTTTTATACTTCAACAAATATACAGTGTTTTTTCTATCTCAAAGCCAAAATAATTCAGATTTACTACCCAGACTATTAACTTTGAGCGTAAAACTACATTGACTTAAACAAAATTAGTCAACCGTTTGTTTTCGCTTGCTTAGACGACACAATGGCAACGAGGGGTAACGTCGTTTTGGTCATTTGAGTCCATAAACTCAACACGGTGACAACGAAGTGTCGTTTTATCTTTACTAGTGTTATTTTATCTTCATCAAACATCATCGTTTCGTTGGGTTTATGGACTAAAATGACTAAAATGATCATCGTTCGGTTCATTTTTGATTCAAACCTCGGAATCCACCTAGGGTTTACGCTTTTCGGTCTCTCGTCTTACGGCTTGAATGATTAAATGGACATAGGTAGAGATGAAAAATGGAGGTTTTGTCGAATGAATCCACACTCAACACGTTTGCTTGAATCCACAAGCTAATTGATCCGCACATACACAAGACTTTAGTGAATCCACACTAATTTCTATTGCATAAAACTCAAAGAAAATACTTTTCTGATTAATTCTTAGATGATGGGTGAATACAAATGAAAACGAGGTTGAGCTTATATAGAGGCTCAAGTACAACGGCTATAAGCCAAAAGAAAGAAACAAATCAAAAGAATTAAATAAAATAGAGATGTTGGACATTAAAGGGTGATCCAAGGTCGAAATAGGAAAGTCTTGATTCTTCTTGAGTCTTGATAGCTTGGGCGAGTAATGGTGATGTCTAGGGACGTTCAAATTCATTATGAGAATCTTCTGGATGCGCCAAAGATGATCATAATAGAGTCGTGGTGATTTGATCTCATTCGGCTCCGAAATAGGAAAGTTATAGCTCATCGGGATTTTGTGTGGGAAAATGCAACTAAATGTTGGTATTGATTCTTACATAAATTTTATGGATTCAAATAACCAAAACGACGTTATTTGATTAAGATAAAATGATACATCGTCGCCAACGTGTCGTCTAAGTGAGTGCAATCAAACGGTTGTCTAATTTTGTTTAAGTCAATGTAGTTTTAGTTTTTACGCTCAAAGTTAATAGTTTGGGTATGTAGTAAATTTGAATTATTTTGGCGTTGTAGAAAAAAGCACTGTATATTTATTGAAGGTATAAAAACGCGGGTTGATATCTGCACTTTTTTATAGAGTCATTAGAAAAAACAGTGTTTATCTAAGAAGTTGTCCCAAATCAAAGATCAATGTATTGAGAAAAGAGACATTTTTGTTGGAGGAAATATGTGTACTTCTGGTTTCTTTTAAAACATTTGCAGAAGTGAATGATTTTTCTCAGAGGTGGATAATGGATTATGCAAATTTCATATGACGCCGAGAAGAAAATTGTTCGTTGAGTTAGAGGAATCTGATCATTGGTTCTACAACCATGGGAAACATATACATTTTATTAGGTTATGATTTATGAAGCTAATCTGGTAAAAAAGAATGATATTTGACTGAGACATGGATCTTAGAGGGGTTGCATAAATTAAATATGTTACTTTCTAACTGTTTTTATTTATTTATAATTTAACTTGAAAATAACCCACGTACTGCGTGAGTTTAATACTATATTATATTTTAATTACTATTTTGTTTTCAAACTTTTAAGTGTTTATTCTATTTTTTCTATTATAATTTGTAATTTACACTAGTAAAAAAAATACGTATAGCCACTTCAATATTCATGGCTGCAGCTGAAAATTCGTGGCTGTAAGTCGATATAGCCACGACTAGTGACTAAAAATAATCGTGGCTATAGCTTCGTAGCTTTTTTTTCGTGGCTTTTCATGGCTGCATAGCCACGAATTAGTCACTCATATTTCGTGGCTATAATTAGCCACGAATAAATTACTCACTTTTCCGTGGCAAACTATAGCTACGATTATGTCACTATGATTTCGTGACAAATTTAGCCACGGAATATGCGTAGCAAAGTTTGTGACAAAATTAAGTAAGCCACGATTCAATAAGTGGCATGATCGTTGGTTTAAGCCACGATTTGTATAAATTGTATAATCGTGCCAATGAATTTTAGTTGTAGTATTCGTGGCTAATCATGTATAATTTTTTTCAAAAAAAAACAATGCTATAAATAAACCTGAAATGAAAAGCTTAAAATCCAATTAACATTAAATCCTAATAAGAAGATTAGATTACATAATTATAGTAGTCTTGTAAGTTATAATACCAAAAGGCAAAAAGGGTGCTAATTTTAGTCATACAAAAGACCCCATTCATACAAGAGAAACATAAAAAACAGAAACTTATAAACCTGCTGAAGCACACCAAGCATCTAAGTTGCCTTGTTGTGTTCTTGTAGGAGGGTCTGTCGGAGTAGCAGCAGGAGACGCAACAGCAAACGCAGCTGCAGGAGACACAGCAGGAGACGCAGCAGCAGGAGGACCGTCACGACCAGCAGTGGAGCCAGCAAAACGGAGACCAGCAGCAGCAGCAGCACGAGCTATAACGTCACTTGGAGCAAGTTGAATTCCCAGAGACTGCATAATCGCATTCAGCGCAAGTCGGGTTGTAGCCAGCTCGTCCATTACCGTGCCCATGCCAGACTTCAGCTCCACCATGTTTTCCTTGAGCGCCTCATTGGTTTCCTTGAGTGCTTCATTGTTTTTTTTCCAAACCATAGATGCGCATCTCATTGTCAAGGTTGCGAGACATAGCAACAGCCACTTTCTCGGATGGATTGATTTCCCGGTATTGTACACTGCCTAATCCGTAGATATACCCTCTTTTAGACTTACCACGCTGTGAAAGAAAGAAACAAATAAGAATCAAGCATCATTCAAAACTAAACACAATTTCAGATGGATAAACAAAACTGTGTAGTCTTGATCATTAAACCATCCATTTGTGGCTTTTCCACTAACACGACCTTCATGGTAGAACAAGCTCGGCACATCTGGATAAAAGTATGTGAATCGAATCTCTCCAGGAACTGGAATAACATCATCTCTAAATTCTGGATGTCCAAAATAATTTGCAGAAGCATTTGCTATCTCCTCATTCACGCATTGTGCAACAATCGAACCCGCTATGTGTGCCTTGTTCTTAACTTTCCTCTTTAAATGGTACATGTATCTCTCGAACGGATACATCCACCGATATTGCACTGGACCTCCTAAAGCAGCTTCATCTGGTAGATGAACGGGAAGATGTTCCATAACATCAAAGAACGATGGAGGAAATATCTTTTCCAAATTGCAAAGTTTAACGGCAATATTTGCTTTCAACAAAGCAACATCATCTTTACGTAAAATATTCGCTGAGATATCCCGAAAGAAGAGTGAAATATCTACACATATACATAATTAATTTAATTTATTGATATAAATATAAAAATATATACAAAGTAAATAAGCTATAAAATTACCTGAAATGGCCGTGTGAATATTTTTTGGAAGAAGTTCTGCAAACGCAAACGGGAGTAGTCGTTGCATGATGACGTGGCAATCATGACTTTTCAGTCCAGATAACTTCCAATGGTTTTCGTCAACACAACGACTAAACTTTGACGCATATCCATCTGGAAACCGTATATCATTTTTCATCCATAGGAGAAATGCTCTTTTTTTTCATTCGACAATCTAAATATTGGCACCGGCATTGTTCCATCTCGGTTAAGATGTAAATCATGTCTTCTACATAACGCCGGAAGATCCATTCTTGATTTAATGTTATCTTTCGTTTTCCCAGGAACATTCAAAACCGTGTTGATGAGATTGTCGAAAAAATTCTTCTCGGTGTGCATGAAGTCAAGGTTATGTCGAAGAAGAAGATTTTCCCAATATGGTAACTCCCATAATATACTCTTTTTCACCCAATTATGATCAATCCCATATCCATCGATAGTTTGAGCAGGCTTCTCGTGGCCGTTCCCTCCACAATCGACAGTTCTAAACAACCCACGAATATTGTTTATTCTTTCGTAAAGAATTTCCTCTCCAGTCAACCACGGTGGAGGATCATCTCTTACTTCCTTCCCTCCACGAAATGCTTGAACATTTTTTCTGTAAGGATGATCTTGAGGTAAAAACATTCTGTGGCAATCAAACCAACTATGCTTCCTTCCATTTGGTAACCAAAATGATTTTGTGTCATCTAGACAATATGGACACGATAAACGGCCATGCGTCATCCAACCAGACAACATGCCATATGCCGGGAAGTCGCTGATTGTCCACATCAAAGCAGCTCGCATCGTGAATTTTTGTTTCTTTGATATGTCATACGCTTCCGCCCCGTCAATCCACAGACTCTGCAATTCTTCGATCAATGGTTGGAGATAAATATCCAGACTTTTTTTGGGATGCTTTGGCCCAGGAACAAGTACCGATAAAAAGAAAAATTCTCTCTTCATGCACATGCCAGGAGGTAAATTATAAGGAGTTACGATTACTGGCCAAACCGAGTGTGCCTCACCATTCATACCAACAGGATTAAATCCATCTGTTGATAAGCCTAGATAAATATTGCGACTTTCAGCAGCAAAATTAGGATATACCTCATTGAAATGTTTCCATGCTGCTCCGTCGGACGGGTGGTGCATTTCTCCTTCGGGAGACATATGTTCAGCGTGCCATCGCATAGCCGTTGCAGTATTCTCTAACTGGTATAGCCGCTTCAGTCGATCTGTAATTGGCATGTAAAACATTCTTTGCTTAGGCCTTTTTTTTCCTTTTCCATTGTGTGGATGGTATCTATCTTCATCACAAAACCGACACCGCAACAGCTCTCCATCTTCTCCTTTCCAAAAAAGCATGCAATTATTCTCGCAAACATCAATCTTATATACCGGTAGACCAAGCGCTTGTGTCAACTTCTTTGTCTCGTAGTATGATGCAGGAGCTTTATTTGGTGTGGGCAGAACAACTTTGAAAGTCTGTGATAGCTCATCTACGCATGCCTCCACCATATTGTAATCAGATTTTGCTTTCAACATACGTGAAGATAGGTATAACTGAGAAATTCCTTCTGGACAACCATCGTAAAGAGGTTCCTTAGCGGCTTCAAAAGCTTCGAAAACGCTATCATGATATGGCTCTTCGTTTGTTGTTTCCATCATATTCTCTACTACATGTGGAGCCTCCATCTCTTGTTCGATGTTCGTATTTCCATATGGAAAATACTCGTACGTATTTTCTGGAACTTGAAAATTTGTAGAATTTGGTGGCCACGTCGCTTCTTCACCGGTAAAATGACTTGTTCCTGATGATTCTCCAACGTCATAATATTTTTCTCCATGGTTTAACCAAACATAGTAATTTCCCTTAAACCCCACTCGAGAAAGATGTTTAATAACCGTTTTTACATCACGCTGCTTTCCGTTTTGACAACGCGCACACGGACACAAAATAGTGTTGGTCTCTTGGTAAGAAGCTTGATTACAAGCAAATTCAATAAAAACATTAACCCCCTCAAAAAACTCATCTGAAACACGATTTATTAATGGATCAAGACGTTGATCCATCCACTCTCGATATTGAAAATAATATGACATTGGAAAATAGTCACATAAAAAATTTTGAACGCTCAAACGTTTTATTATTTTTTTTCTCTCTTCTTCTTTGCTCTGATAATTAATGGAGAAACGCAGTTGGTTATATAGGAAAAATAAGCCACGAATGTGCTACGACGATATTTGTGGCTAAATCTTACCACGAACTGGTCACGACAAACAATCGTGGCAATATTTAGCCACTAATTTGTCACTGACGTCAGTCGTAGCTAAATATAGCCACTAATTTGCCGTGAACTTTATTCGTGGCTATAGTTTTCGAATCTTTTCCGACAATATACAGTCCGCAACTTGGACAACTTGACTGAGATTGACTGAGGTGACATAAATTTCGGTGGATAAGCCACGAATTTAGCCACATTTTTTTTCGTGGATAAACGTCTTTCAGAATTCGGTGACATAGCCACGATTTAACCACGGTATGCGTTGGTGGCTATAATTTTACCACGAATTAGCCATGTTTGTTTATCGTCACTATGTTGCTACGAATTAAGCGCAGCTATAGTGTGGCTTTATTTTCCACGAATCTATACATGACAAATTCGTGGCTGTGTTGCTACGGAAAAACCACGGAAAAACCACGGTTTATTTACCAGTATTGTTCGTGGCTACTTCCTGGCTATTTCGTGGCTAAGTTAAATTTAGCCACGAACCGCCGTGGTAAAAACGTAGCTATACGTTTTTTTTTTACTAGTGTTAGAGGTTTATGATAGTGTTATTGATGTGTTAATACCTACGTAACTTTCATTATGCATGTTATTGTCAAAAATGTGTTTAAATGTGTCATATGTATATAATTTGGGAGGTTTCTCTAATGTCTATCTAAGTAAAGAAAATCAATTTTTCATTAATTTTTTTTTAAATGTTTAGTCAATCTATGTATATTTGTATATATTATAGTAACAAATAAGAAAAGAGAACAAACTAAAATAAATAAAAAATTAGTATCATATATATAATTAGGGGGTTCTCTCTTCATCTAGATGTCCACCTAAGCTACTTAAGTAACACTATTAATTTTACATTAAAATAAATTTAAAATATTTATTTAGTGCATATTTATGTTACTTATAACTAATAAAAATTTAAAATAAATAAAAAAACGAATTATTTAAAATAAATAAGATGTTAAAATAAGAAAAATAATACTATGAAAATTTTATTAGTAGTAATAATAATATAATTCAACTTTTTGACAGAAAAAAATAAAAAATGATCATACTTCAAATTTTTTATTTTGTTAGTGAGTTGCATTACCATCATTCACCTTTTTTCCAAAAGAGACGGAACAAAGAAAAGCATAAACTCAAATCCCATTTACATTTTTCCACATGAGTTCAAAATGAAAGAGATTATCAATAAGAAAATAGATACTAAGAGCAACCCCAATGGACAGTCCTAGAGGGATTCTTGCTCTATCGATTAGGACAAGTGGTTCAGAATCGGGTTCATAGCCCATGTGATCCAGAACCACATCCACACTTAGAGAAGAGAGAGATAGAGAGAGATCAGAGATAGCCCATATGCATATAATTTTTATTTGTATTTAGGTGTTTGGATACTTTGAGATAAAAATAAAGCATTTTCAAAAAAATTAAAACATATTTATGTGAACAAAAATTACACATTCTCGTGACAATTATGTAGTATGAGCAAAACTATTGAATTGCCATTTGGAGTGATCTATGAGCACGTGACATTTTTTAAAATGTGAAGGTTAGAAAAATAAATCAATTAATGAATTGATATACTTTTTGTTTATATATTTTTCATTTAGTTTTAAAACTCACAATTTTTAGCTTCTTAAATGGAATTATTCATTTCCTTTTTATTTACGTGTGACATAATTGCTTTTATCTTTTTTTTTTTCATTATCTATTAGATATTCACCGAAATAATAGCAAAGTAATATTTGAATACATCAATCTATTTGGATTGGCTAAATCGATTATGTTAGTGACTAACTGAGTATCTATAACTGTACCCAAGTCCTATAACATGCTGTTTTTGGACATTCAACAAGTTTTCTATCATTTTTCCAATTGCTCATTGTTTCTCCATTACCTCTCTAACATCCTTAAAAGGTCAATTTCTTCTCGAAACTCCAAAACACTGGATAGTGTAACGCAGAAGTTACAGTGATACTGTAACAAAGTAACAAAGCAAGAGTTCGAGCAATTTAGTGATAAAGGCTTTAGATATTATAATAAATCATAAGACGAGAAGATTTACGGTGCACTATGTGTAAGGTATGCAGCAATTTGACGACAAGAATTTTAGCTTCTTTAGTTTTACAATGGTTGAACGCAAACTTATTTTGACAAATATATGTATCGATTACTTGAGGTATTGCGCCATGAGGAGCTCCAAACGGATGCTCACCCAAAGTTAACAAGTAAAACAAAATGCAACCAAAACTAAACAAATCAACTCATTGACCGATTCAAGGACTCTTTTGATACTCTAAGTGTTCATGATGTTGTCTGTAAATTCAAAAGACGTATACGCCGGAAGTTTGTGGAACATTCACTACACGGTTTTTTAAAAATTAGAGAGAGAGCTACTGAGTACACGTGGTGACCATTATATTTAACTACGGTAGTAATCATTTGAAATAAATATATTTGTATTGCATAATCATCAAATTTACTACTGCTAAAACATACTAACATTTAATAATCAAGCCAGCTAATATGTGTAAGATCTTTTTCTTTTTCTTTTTTAACATCTGTGTTGTGTATATGTGTAAGATCATTTCTACTCCTATATTATGTCAATTATTTATAATTACATTTGTATTTAACACAGGCGTTAATATTATCGGTGTAAATCATACATATATATAATTAGGGAGATCTTTCTACATCTAGGATGTCCATCTAAGTAAAGCAAATCAATTTTTCATTAAAACCAAATTAAAATTTTAGTCAATCTATGTATATTTGTATATATTATTACTTATGATTTTTTTTAAATGAATAAGTTTACAACTGAAAAAACAAATGATAATAATCATGTCTATTTTTTCATTTTTGTTTTGTTATTTTTCATTATATTCTTATGTTTTGCTTATGTTTTGTATATTTTTCTTTTATTGTTTATTTTTTTGTCTCTTTTTATCTAATATATATCTCGGAGAAAAATAAAAATATATATCTCAGGGAGAAGCAGCTGAAACCCTTCTACAAGTGAACAATTCGCCGCCTCTCGAGTTTGTAATATATTCATGTATATGTAAGAATTAAGACCAGATCAGTTTGTGGAAAACAAATCTCAGAAAAATAATAAAGCCGCAGAGAGACCATGATCATGCAAGACCTCCTCGTAAAATAACTAAAAAAACAGCCTAAAAACCATATGTCACTAATAAAATTCACATATATATTAAATATTAATTTTTGAAAAGAAACAGTTCAAAAGAATATTAAATATGGAGATACCACATGTGATTGAGTTAATTTTTTTTATAAATACAATATACACCACACTGATCACCGAAAAATCATATATATAAAAGGAGGTGAACTCTCTCCATCTGCTTGACACATCAGCAATAGAGGTAAAGACACGTGTATAAGTTAAATATTCAATTAAATTATTATGCGGGAGAATCGTGTGTTTAACTTTAATGTTTTTCAGTTTTGCTGCCCTCTTCATCTTCCTATCTAGAGTTTAAAAGTGTACTTTAAAGATGAGAATCAATATAGATGTGAATTTCAAGTGTCAGCCGATTGCAAAAGTCTTCAGTCTCACTCACAATCTCGATCTGGAATATCTCACATTTGATTTTTTTTTTAAATTCTTGTGAGTAAATTGTTGCAGAAAGATCTACGGTCACTCCATACAATTTTGTTGATCTGAGATTTGTCAAACTTCTTTATCATTTCCAAATCTCTTCTAAATCACAACGGAGAGGGCTGCAAAAATATTTTTTAGATAAAAAGCATTTAGAAGATTATAGAGTTCGATTGTTGGGGCCATGAGTAAAGTAATTTACTTCTTTTTTGTTCATGGAATACTTTTTTTTCAATCATACACTTTTTCAATGCCACCCGGCACGACAGGTTTGGACACTCTCTCAGATTCCTACAGCCATAGGAATTTTTCCAACGGAGTCTATTTTTGCAAATTTGGACCATTTATTTTGGAGAGTACCTTCAGAATTTGACTCTTCAGCCTTTTCATGGATTATCTGGTATATATGGAAAGCAAGGAATGAAAAAATATTTGAAAACATTGATAAAGATCCGTTAGAGGTATTACGGTTAGCGGAAAAAGAAGCACAATTGTGGCAGTCAGCCCAAATTGAGCTTCATCATGAAACTCATGGTACTTCGGAATTGGTTAATCGTTCTCGAGTGGGGAATACTTCACTTGACTCGAATTATTCTGGATACCGTTGCTTTGTAGATGGATCGTGGAAAGAAAGTGATAAGTTCTCCGGTACAGGATGGTTCTGTACATCATCAAACGGAGAGCCGCCAACCATGGGAGCTGCAAATCTCCGTCGAAGTTTATCTCCATTACATACCGAGTTCGAGGCCCTTCTCTGGGCGATGAAGTGTATGATTGGTGCAGATAATCAAGAGGTAGAGTTCCTTACAGACTGTTCTGATCTGGTGAAGATGGTGTCTTCTCCAACCGAATGGCCGACGTTTTCAGTGTACTTGGAGGAATTCCAGAGCGACAAGGAAGAATTCTCATCCTTCTCTTTATCTTTAATTTCTCGCAATGCTAATGTAAAAGCGGATCATCTGGCACGAAAAATTCGTACAGAACCGCTTCATATCACATTTGTAAACAACATTTCTCAGGAATGACTTTTTTGAGCTCTAATTAATTTCGGATGACAAAAAAAAAAAAAAAAAATTTTTTTTTTGAAAGAATGTAAAATTATATTCAAACAAAAAAACAGTTTTACAATAAATGCATCATTGAGAGCTGAATTCCTTAAAAAAAAATTAAAAATAAATAAATCAATAATTTTAAGGATGAGTTTGGAACCAAAATTGGTTCCCGCCTTCATAACCCCTATGGTTTCGGAGAAGGCTGAGCTTGTTTCTAATGTTTTTGTCGATGAGACGGCTGAGATGTTGAGCCGAGATTGAGGGTTTGTCATGACGTCGACCATTTCTTTCTCTCCATAGACTGTGAACTGTAGCTTGAAAGGAGTACCGGATAGCAAAGGTAATGAGTTTCGGCCGAGTGGAATCTGATAAAATTAAGAGAATCTGATCCCATTGAGTTGTGAAATCGTTTTGAAGAATTCCTCGAGCAATAGATGACCAAACCTGAGAGGAATAAGAACATGAGAAGAACAAGTGATCTCGTGTTTCTAATTCATCCTTACATAAAACACAACTAGTGTTTGCATCAACGTTCCACCGACTTACTCTGTCTCCTGTTGCTAATCTGTTTCTTGTGGCTAACCAAGTGAGAAAAGTATACTTCGGTGTGGCTTGAGGAAACCAAACACCTTTATACCAGCTGCAAATTGGAGAAGACTCTCTTAGCAGTACCCATGTTTCATTGGAAGAGAATTTAGCTTTGAATTTATCGATGTTGCACTTCCAAAGACTAATATCATTTTGTGTTGTGACATGGCTGCGGAGTGCGTCAATCTGATCCTCAATCTGGTTAAATACAACAGCTCTATGACGTCTTCGTCTATGA